AAAACAGCTACCAGAGAAGTAGAAGGATGAAGACGGGAAAGGTCAAGTCCAGAGCAGAGGAGGGGAACTCCTAGGCTGCCCTGAGGGCAGATGCCAGTTGGAGAGCCCCAGCTCAGGAAGCGGTGGCCAAGGAGGCCGTGGCCGAGGACTCCACGCAACCCACGGATGTGAAGACAGTTCTTAGCACGGTTCTTAGCACGTCGGTGGCCTGTGCTAGCTACTGTGCCTCATTAGCCTGTGCTCACTGGAAGCTGGAGATAATCTAGCCAAAGGGAGAAAGAAGTATAACTTTAGAACCTTATAGCTGGAAAGCACGTTGGAAACCAAACCTGACGGAGAAAACTAGAACAAGCTGAACAGTTAAAATTGATTGCCTCAGGGAAAAAAACAAAAACAAGCCGTTGCCTGAGAAGCAGGACTGTTGGGGCGGAGGGGCTGGGCACTGTTGCTTTTCTTCACAATCCTTTTGGTACCATCTGGTTCTTTTTTTTTTTTTCCTTTTTGTCGTGACCGGCAACGGATCGCAACCCTCAGTGTCGCGCCCGTACCGGACCGGGACCGGCCACGGGATCGCAACCCTCGGTGTTGCTCCCGCACCTCGCTCAGCCAGTGAGCGGCCGGTCTGTATGTGGGATCCGAACCCTTGGCGAGAGCGCCGCCGCGCTTCCCAAGCGGTGCACTGTAGCAGTGCGCCACCGGGCCAGCCCCATCTGGTTCTTTTTTTAAACCTTGTACCTGCACTATTTTGATTTCAAAACCAAACTTTTAATGTATTCAAAAACCAGGAGAATGGTTACCGTCTCAAATACGCTCGGAACCGTAAAATAACCTTGTAATTACGTCCTTAGAACCCAGTGGGGTGAAAGCCACACTACGGGGGTCGCCGCGGGGGGCTCTCCCGGGAGGACCCTCTGCTGTCGCGACGTCGGAGCCCGCGCGCTGCGGCGGGAGGCGGCGGTGGCGGAGCGCGCACGCGCAGAGCCGCGCGCTTCCTTTTTTCCCGGAAGTCCCCGGCCGGTGGTTTGAATGGTCCCCGAGATGTCTGCGGATGGCTGCTTCTCCCAGGAAGAAGGCAGTGAGAGTCGGGGTTCAGTTCTGACCGGTGCCGACAGTGCCCCCTGTCTGCAGCTCGAGGAGACCCCTTACTGCCCCGTCGGGACGATCGTGGATGAGACCCTTGGAGGTTGAAGAGGGGGTCAAGGGCCCCTGACCCCGGAGAGGCACTAAATCCCACCGCAATCACAGCGGCAGACCCCGAGGATGAGGAAGAGAAGACCCGAGCTCCCTGCCGCCAATACCGGCAGCTGATGGAAAATTTCCAACGGAATTGGCAGGGTAAGCCGAGTTCTCCCAGTGACAGGTCAACGAAGGCTCTTGAAAAAGTTTAACGCTGTTTAGTGGAGTGTCCTGCTCAAAAGCAGCAGTCCTGAATGCCCGGTGCCTTGTGTGGCTTTCAGAATTAGGTAAAGAAAAAGCAGGTTAAATGTTCTCCAAGCCATTGGATCTAGCGCCATTCCTTTAACTTCCTCTCTAAGATCGCCCCTCTCACCTGGTGATCTTTGGAATACGGGACAGGCATGTTTAACTTCAAGACATCTTCCTCAGTATTTGCAGTGTATCTTGAGTTCGTTCAAAGCAGAGCCTCCTCTACTAAAGCATCGACCTGAACGTCAGGGGGAAAAAATGTAAAATGGAAGAGAGTAGGGCAATGCCTACACAGTTGGAAAATGTGGAGGAGAATGATCAAGAAGGGACTGAAAAAGAAGCGCAGAGAATCTTGGAAGTGTTGCAAAGTTATTCTGGAGACACTCCTAAGACTCCTCTATCCTTTTCCTTAGTGGTTGACACAGATTTTGTTTTAAATGAATGGTAAAATCCAAACAGAAAGAAATGTATATTACAGTGAAACCTATTTTCAAAGCATATATGAAATTTGTTTTATTATAATGGCTCTTTCTTGAGTGTTTATAAAGATGTCAGTCTTTTTTGGGAAACAAATTCACTGGCATATTCATAAAAGAGAAAAAAGGAAAGAAATCTGCTCTTTCATTTTACAGATGAGGAAACTGTGACCCATAAAGGGAAATGACAAGGATCACACTGAACCAGACCTAGGAACTGGAGCCCGGCCATGCTCCTTGGCCCAGTGCCTCTCCTTACTCATACCCATTGTAACAAATGTGTGTCATCAGATGATGCCCGTAAATCTCTTCATCATACTGAAGTTCTGGAGGGACACCAGGGGATTATTTCTTCAAGATCTAGAAAGACTTTTTTTTTTTTTTCTCTTAAGATGACCGGTAAGGGGATCTTAACCCTTGACTTTGTTGTCATCACCACGCTCAACCAGTGAGCCAACCGGCCATCCCTATATGGGATCCGAACCCGGGTCCTTGGTGTTATCAGCACCACACTCTCCCGAGTGAGCCACGGGCCGGCCCACTGTGCTTTGCTTCGATACTTTTTGACTGATAGTGCATGTGTCCAGGAAGTATAGGGAGGAAGGAAACTAATCCCTCTTCAAAGTCTACATTGAGTCAAGCATTATGTTATGCAATTTTACATAGGTTAATTTACTTAGTCTTCGCCACAGGCTTTCTAGGTAGGTATTATTCTCATTCTATCTCAGGAGTTCACAAAGGTCAGGTAACATGCTCTGAGGTACGCAGACAATAGGCAGCACAACTAAGACTGTATTACACCATCTCCCATCTCCAAATGAGTAGGCAGGAGATGATGATTACAGTTTGTTCCCCAGTCCCTCCCCAGTGTAGATAACTACTTGCAGTGCTCAGTGGGGTCATCAGGGCAAGTAAAATCTATTGCCCTCCCAGCTTGACTAATAGGTAGGGATGAAGCTGCAACGGAGGCCCTCTCCTACTTGGAGAAAGGCATTTTGGTTGGCACCTCTTCACAAAGGCTCCAGAGTTTCAGAGCTTTGCATATAGACAGATTCTCATTGAACAATGAAGCCAAACTCTGCTTCCAAAATTCCCAGTTTGATGGTTCACTGTGGATGAAGAGACTTAAGACTCAGCTTTGAGACTAGCTGGGATCACACTGACAGGAACTAGTTTGTGAAGGGAGGACTCTGGGATGATGGGATCTATAGAGATAGAGATACTTGGATAGATACTTGGACCTCAAGTAGCTACTCAGTCAGGAAGATCATTTAATGTTCTCGAGGGAATGGCCACATCCACCAAGATCCAACCAATTTCTGGTGTCCCAGGGAGAATGATCTAACCATCCCCCTCCCCAGGGGGGATGTGCTAAAGGCAAACTCCAGAGGTGTCCTATTCCCATGCCTTCCACCTTCCTACACATGAACTTCCTCCTGCCCTGCTGTTAGCACTCAGTACCCTTTACATTAAACGTGTTCCCCATGTTCACTCTGTAACCATGACTCTGCTTCCTAAAGAGTGGCCATAGCAATGAGAAACTTACCAGTCAGATGTGGCATACCTGAAGCAAGTCAGTCCCTTTCCTACTCGTATCTTCCACGGCTACTTGTTGGCCACAGAAGCATCAACTCCCTAGCCTCCATGGTCTCATTTCTTTACAGCCTCTTCCCACCTCCTGCAGTCCATACTGTGCCATCCATCCTGGCCACATCAGATTTCTCCTTCCTTGACTACATTCCTCCCTCCCCTGCCTTCAGTTCTGCCTACTGTTTCATCTTCTGGAATGCTTTTCTCCCCCCAACCCTGGGCATCCATTCAAATCTTCTGCCCTCAAAGTATAGCTTCAGTGGTTAAGATCACAAAGCAAAGCTGACTTCAGCAAACTTTGCCTTTCAAGAGAACCAGGGGCCAAAGCAGTTCAGGTAAAGGGGATAAATAAAACAGCTTTAAGTTCACTTCCTGTTCAGGGGTCACTCAGGAGATTAGGATCTATGCAGAGACCACAAGAACCAACTGGCTTCCCTTCCTTATGCTGCTGGGACTTGCACTCCCCCTGAGGATAAACTGGGCAGCTGCAGCTGAGTCACACAGGCTGTTGTGGGCCAGCCAGGAGCAGAGCTGTTTCTTGGCATTTCTCCCAGTTCTCTTCATGGCAGACTTCTGTGACTATGCTGGGATTCAGATTTGTCACTGTACTCCACAGTGAGAGACTTTAATTCATTCCCTCAAACTTTATTCACTCCAGTGTTTGCTCCCACCTTAGTCCCATTCCCTCACCCTTCCCCTCACTCATGATCACAGTATCACAGTAATCCTAAAATGAGATTGCTGTTAGAATTTAACACTTCCCACCGTGCCTTTTACCCTTTGCATGCTTTAAGTCCCCCACTCCTGCAAACTTTGCCTTAGCACACTCCTTGTCGGGTTGGAGGAAGTTCTGGTACCTAGAGCAATTTGCTTTGCTTGTCCTTGCAATACCAGTGATCTCACATGCATGAGGTTGACTGTTCAGTCCTATCTATAACTTCCAGCAGATAACCCAAGTGGGTGAGTAGAGGGCAGGAGCCAGGTCCCATCAGTTCCTGTGTATGTGTCCCAGGCTCCCCAGCACGTGGAGCTTTTATCTTACCCTTTTATCTCCTGGGCTTAGCCAGGTCTTGCAGAATGGGCTCTGCTGAGATCCAAATACATTAGCCGTTTGTTAGGAGAACTCAGTCCTAGCACTTAGCAGGTTTTCAGTTTATGGTTAGATCTCAAGGGAACAGAGCAAAAGGGGAAAAAAGAAAAAGAGGGTTCAATGATCTTTGGATGAAGGGTTATCTTTACAAAGCAAGAGCCATCTGTGAACTTCAAATCTTCAGAATGAACTCTGGGCATATCCAGGTCTGTGCACAGGACCCAAAGTCTCAGCTCCATCTAAGCCATGATATGTAGACCAGCCAAGCTCAATGACAGCTCCTGGTTCCTCCCTTTCCTGGGCAGCTTCTGCAGCAGCTTAAATTCTTGCCACGGGTGTCACTACAGGTTGATCCCTGCTCAGTTACTGACAAATGCCTGACCTTGGGCTCCGAGTTGATGGGCTAATCAAGCCCAGAAAGTGTTAATCATCAGAGGTCAAATCCACTGGCCTCAAAGAGCCCTTGTGCACCTGGGATCTGAGCATCTCCATGTTGTCTTTGTTCTCTTCAAGGCTCATGTCGTCAGGGTCCCACTGTGGAGAAAAGACACAAAGGGTACCTGGGTGGAACAGATCCTTCCCATCTATTACAATCCCCCACCCAAACAGCAGCTCCAGTCTGGTTCTCATGACCCAGGCACAGACAAGGACAAGTTAACCAGGCTAGTGTTTCTAGGACCTAAGGGGACAAGTTTAACTTTAAATTAAGGAATTAATGAACAGCCACCCTGAACAGACCAACCCCACCTGTTTTTCCCCCACTGTTCCCCACTTTCACCAAGTCCTTATCTAGTGAGACTGAGTCATGTTCCCTTTATTCTGAGAATTCTTACCTCCATGCCAAACTTATTCCTGGAAAAGACTAGGCAAACTCAACCCATTCTTTATGGCCCAGGTAAATAGCTCCTTCTCCAGGAAGCCTACCTTTATTGCCTTAGTCCACTGAACTCTTACCCGCTTCCCTCTGTATTACCTATACCAGTCATTTGCACCTGAGCATGGACAGCCCTGGCCTTTCTTTGGACATCTCTGCCTTGTTCTCTCAGACGGTGAGCTCCTTAAGAGCAAAATACAGGTCTGCCCTTACCACCTATATTGTGTTTCCTCTAAACTTGAGGCTGCAGATTTATTAAAAACAATACTTAAAACCCAGTTCAGGGCCGGCCCGTGGCTCACTCGGGAGAGTGCGATGCTGATAACACCAAGGACCCGGGTTTGGATCCTATATAGGGATGGCCGGTTCACTCACTGGCTGAGCGTGGTGCTGACAACACCAAGTCAAGGGTTAAGATCCCCTTACCGGTTATCTTTTTTTAAAAAAAAAAAAACCCAGTTCAGAGTGGTGGGCACTCCCAGTGAATATTCCATCACTCTGACTCAGATAATTATGGGAAATTGAAATTTGCAAGGTTAAGAGTGAAAGATTAAAAAGAATGAGCATAAGCATTGATGAAGCTCTTTGCAAAGTCCTCCTATTATTCTAATGTGATGGATTAGGGAGAGAACTTTGCACATGGGTCAAGATCAAGGGGATCCTTAGTGCCACCTTTGAAGTTCCAGCCACAGACGCAAGTGAGGATCGGGCTCAAATCTTCCTCTTGTCACCAACTTGCTTTCTCTTCCTTGGAACTCAGTATCCCCATGTGTAAGCTGTAGTGTTGGATCAGCAATTAGATAATAAGATCTCTTCCATGTCTAAACTTCTATGACTGATGATTCTGAGTCATAAGGTCACATTTGACAGTATCAGGAGACCCAGGAAATAACAAGCAAAGGC